TGTTGTTGTTGTTCATGTATTTGTAAACGTTCATCATTTAAACGTTTTTCAGTTAATTTTAATTGTTCAATTAATTGTTGTCGTTCATCATTTGAACGTTTTTCAAATAAATTTTTTTCTTCAATTAAACGTTCATTTCCATTTACACGTTGTTGTAATTCTTGTTCTAATTGTGTTATACGTAATTGTAAACTATCAAATGCTTGTGATTGTATACCAGATGAATCTGTATGATCTTGTAATATACGTGCACATTGATTTTGTAATTGTTCACATTGTAAAGTTTTTGTTTTAAATAATTCATCTGATTCAGCTAAACGAACACGCAGTAATGCTATTTGTGAATCTTTTGCAGATAAAACTTCAATTGAATCAGATTCACGTGAACGTAAATCACGTAATAATGCATCTGATTCAGCTATTTGATGTTGATATTGAATTAATTGACGTTTATATGTTTGTAATTCATTTTCATATTGACGTTTATCACGCATTAATGTTTCAATTTCAGTATGTAGTGAAGCAACAATTTCATCTTTCAGATTTGATGATTGATTTGAAATAATTTCAGATTTATTATTAATAATTGTTTCATGTTTAGACGGAACATCCTATAAATTTAAAAAAATTAATTAATTAATACTAGGAATTGTTGTTTTCTTTTGTTTTTGTTTTAATCGTTTATCTTACTAAAATAAGACCTTCATCATCATCATGAGTTTGTACAGCAGCAGGTGTTATTGATCGTGGTGTAGCTGAAGCTGATTTAGATGATGATTGTTCAATAGGTTTTGATGTATCATCAACAAACATGTTAGGTGAACTAGCTGTACGTGTTGTATCACTAAGTAAATTATTAAAAGGTAGAGTACGATTTGTTTTATCAATAACAAGTGTTGAACTATTAAGATAATCAATGAGATCAGAATCATCATTTTTTTTATTACGACGATTTCCAATAGTTGATCGATTTGTTGCATCAAAATTTAATGTTAATTTATTTGATGAATTTAATGACGAAGTATCAGATATTGATTCTTCTTTCGTTTGTATTGTTGTTGATTTTATATGATGTTGATTTATTGCTGCATTTGTTTGTTGATCAACGCGATTAAGAATATCTTCTGCTTGTTTTAATAGCCAAGCCATATTTGAACTATATTCTAAATTATAATTCGATACGGTTCACTAAGAATAGAAACAAATATAGGTAACTATAAAAAAAAAAGTGCCACATAACAGAACATTAGATTATGATTCATACCATTGCGAAGCTAGCCGAACTGGATCATTCAGCTGGAAGAAAATAGTGATTCTATTGGACAACTTGTTAAGCAATAAATATCGTAGTATTCGTAAATCACCATTAAAGAAGAATACAAAAGAAATAGATTTTGAAAATGACCATCCTAATGATGATAAAATGAAATATATAGTCTACAAGCTGATGCGAACGACCCATTCCATCATTTCCAAAACGAATCCACTGATGCACTTGTTTCTGGTGACTAAAAAATTGTCTTAATTAAAACGATGATCTCATAAAAAATTCAGGATAGTTTATAAAATAGTAATATCATATCTTCATCGTGGTCTTCATTATTTTTTCTAACATTTAGAGGTCATCAAATGGCGTCATCTTTAGTCTGCGTAAGCAACAATGAAAAGTAAACCAAAGCCGTTGGTATAATCAGTTTCAACCCATCATAAAGTGCATAAAATGTAGCTCACATACTGTTCTATGAATTCTAAAAGTTTTTCACATTGACAGCAAAGCATTGCCGTTGTGGAAGAGAATCAGCATAGAATACCATCCATCATTTTTTCTGAAAATGACCACCAAAATTTTTAGTAGAAATTATTAGTGCTATTATGTTGATTCTAAATATATATAAATCTCTTTATTTACTTCATTTTATAAAAAATATTCACACAGTGCATTTAGAAATAACTAGTAAAAGATAAGCACAATCATTTCATCAGACAGTAGATCAATATTTTGTATTTGACTTGTCTCTCAAATAACTAATAATTAAGATTGTGACTTTTGCGATGACTTTTCTCTTAAAGGTACAATCAGTGTTCATATTGTGGTTTTTTATGAATCATTCAAAATAATGGACACCATATATAAAAAAAATTAGCAAAACACGAGTCACATCTTGATGATAAAAGCTTTCTAAAGGTAAAATGTCTTAAAAATTACATGCCTTTTTTATGACGGACAATTTATATTACTGATGAGAACTTTATCGTTTTCAAAATAATGAGTAATTTTTCTTTCCAAATATCCTATTTGAAGGAGCATCATACACTGAAAAGTTTTCAGAAAAACATTTTTTTATGGAATGTGAAATCATGGCGTATATTATGGAACGTCATACACACTTTCGAGTATAAAATCTGGAAACAAAAATTAACATGCAATACAAAAGTCTTTGCAAAAATGTCAACTCTGTTAGATGATATTGCCAATTTCTAAACTAATCAAAGTTTTTTTTTTGGTAGAAAAAGCAACGTCTGAACTACAAATTTGATAATCTAAAAAAGTTCTTACAATGTTTTTGCAATTTGAAAAGTTGCTATTTCTCAATTATCTTGTACTACATAGGCGGATTTATACCAAAAAATACATCAAAATGTAGCGCATCAAAAGTTCGATCGATATCAGCTTCGATAATTTGTTTAAATGCATTCTTGATTCTTTTATAAAAAGCAATTGGAAATTGAAATTTTTATAAAATAGTCTTTGGAAGGACTTCAATCATAATCTCTAGAAACTATCTATGAACGGAATTCCTTGTGCATTATTTGTTCAAAATATGTCAGATCTTAGAAATTTAGTAGAAAAAAAAGAACTCAAAAAATCTTTTTCTTTGTTAAAAACAATCAAGAAGTAGGAATGACCAACTTATACTATTTCTTCCAGAAAAACCTTTTTTTTTGAAAAAAGGAATACTAAATTCAACTTTCAATACTCTATTGGGAAAAGCACTGGTTATCTTCGAAAAGTCATCATTAGACGTGCTTTTTCTTTTCGCTTTTAGTATAAAAAAACGAATAGAAAAGAGAAAATGATGCTGCGCCAAGGTGAAATTGCAAAAAACTTATTTAGACGTGTGTCATTTATGGTTTTTTCAGCATCTTAAAATATTCAAATTAATGCCGAACGCAGTTACTCCACAAAGCCAAGGTTGCACTAAACATAATCAGCACACAAATAATCAATTCCTTCATATATTCAGGAGAAAAGATTTTCCAGGAACTCAGATGATGTCTTTAAAGGTGTGAGCATTATTTTCCTCAACAACTGAATCAGCTGTATCTATTGATGCTATTTAGAAGTCAGCACAGATGTTCACTCTGATGGTGTTGGTATTAGTAATACTTTGACATTTATCAACTTCTGTGAGCCTCAGGCAGGGTCTGTGAAGATGTGAACATCATTTTCTCGAACAATGAAACCAGCTGCGCCAACTGATGCCTTTATGTAGTTAGCAAAATAGTTTTATAGTGATGTTGTTGATTATATTAAGTATACTGGCATCTGTTTTATGATGGCTATTAGGGAGAATATGTTGATATTCTGTAGACGATTTTCGGTATTTTGTGCTCGCGTCATTATTGGTGGAAGACTCAGAATAATTGGATTGGTTATCCGGCTAGCTTCAACAAGGTATGGTTTGGTTTGCATCAATTAAGATTGATATAGTTATATTTGCCAATTGATTGACTGAAGATAGATGTCTCTCGTATCCTTTTAATGGAAATATTTATCGTTAGAAGCTTTTTGATATTGTAAATGCTGATTTTATGTTAAATTTGAATAGATAAAATTAAATTAAATTATAGTTTTATGAAGTGTGCTCTTTTCGAGAATACAAAAAAAACACAATAATAATATCAATAATGGGTATTATCTGACTGCAGAAAGGATTTCGTATGAAGAAAAGGACTCAGATCAATGATTTAAGCGGCCGGACTCTTGAATTCCCAGCAAGTTCCTGCCGGAAAACTTGGGAAAATGATAGGAACTTGGAAGCAAAAATTCAGTGATCGAGTTTTTTAAGTTTCAGTGGTAACTGGGCAGAGTCGGTTACTGAAACCCGTTACCGGATTCCTGCTTCCAAGTTCCTACAATTTTCTTGAGTCTTCCGAGAGGAAATAGTTCACATTTCTTGACCTGAGTATTTTAATAGTTAGATAGAAAATTCCTTTTTTCATGTAAGTCTGTTAGCGTAATTGTTTATACATGTAATTTTAACGAGTATTTCAAAGGTTCTTGGACGATGAGCAAGATAATTGATTGTATCAGCTAATGATCTTGTTTTTGACTGTAACAAATGCAACAATTTTTTCAACTTGTTTAGTTTTACGAGCTGCTTTTATATGTCAATTATTTTCGCAATGTTGTTCTTTCAGCGGTTTGAGATTGCAATGCAGTGGCATGAGTTGTGACAGGCATTAATCAAACAATTATTATCTGAAATGACATATAAAACTTATGGCTACGACATAGACGAATATAACCTATAAATACAGTCGATTGAAGGTTTTTTCATTCACAGTCAAACTGGCGAATTTCCAAAACATCAAACTTTTAGTCTGTTTTTTCGAAGTTTTGTAAACCTCAAAATAATTTCATAACTAATACAAAAGTAGCAGTTGATGAAAAATGTTCTTTTAAAGTAGAGATCGCGATTTATCTAACAAAAAAAGTATATGAGCTTCCTATTGTATCCTGTTCGAGTATGGTTGAGTATTTTTACAACAACCGTTATTTAGGAAAGTCTAGAATATATATTAAGATTTAATATTCAATTAATACAATAATTTGTATTTTTTTCATATAATATGTTCATCTTTTTAGAACTTTGAATTTTCTTTCTTATTGATTTTATTATTAGTTTAGTTTTGTAGAATTTTATCTATAAGCTGGATAAACTATATAATTCTGGATTTATTTTATTATTCATTCAAACATAGATAAAAATGATTATCTAAACGTCAATTCGTACAGTTATTGTTCGGTCACTAATGAACGCAAATGAATTGATATTTAAATGAATATTTGATATTTTTTTATTTTCAAGCCAACAAGTTGAGCCAATTTGAAGTGGACACTTAAATGTAACTTGAATAGTACAAGCAAAAATAAGTGAACGTAAAGCGTCATCAACAATACGTTCATGCCGTTGACATGATAAATTTTCCATTAGAATAAATGTTTCAAGATTATTATTATTATCTTTTTCAATTGATATATTCGTATGTTGAATAATATCATTAATTTTGTCATTATATAATATTAAATCACTATTTGAATTATAATAAATAATTGTTTCAAAACCAAGTAAAAGTTTTGTACCATTCTTTAAATTTGTTTGACTATTAAATAAATAAGATTGTGTACCATTAAACCATTGAAATGATTTTATTATTTCAACAATAATTATTCCAAGACCATAACTGGTTAGATTACCTGCATATACATATATGCCAGCTAGATCTTGTTGAACATGTTTTGAAGATAGTGTTCCATGACATTGATCATAGGTATTTGATGAGATGGAAGGATTAAGTTGATTTTCAAATAGATAATAATTAACCTTTTTGTTTATATTTTGTTTAAATAAATGACGATTTTGATAAGTTATATTATTTCGATCATCATATAAAGGAATATCGATTCCATGATCCAAATGAACTATTTCAATACGTGGTTCTTGATTTTTGTTGTTTATTTCAGAAACTGCTTTAAGCCATACTTCAGCTTGATTCGCAGTTAACATTGAAAGATCGGTTTCAGCTCCATGAATACAAATTTTAAAACTGTGAAAACTCCAAAAGAGAAGAAAAATAACGAGTATCATCATGATGTATCTTATAAAATAAATTGATTTGTTCGATTCAATATAAGCAATTTTCTTGTTATTTGATACCTTAATCGACTTTGTTAATCCCAAAATTAGTAAAATATGATATTTTTTACTTTTTCTTTTTTCATATAATACAGATTCTTTAATTATAAAGGGCATATAAAACATATTGAATACAATTCCAGAGTAATAAATACAATAAACGCATTTGTTGATTCAAAATTTCAAATGAAAGGAAAAATCATTAGACAATATGTACATAGACATAACCAGACTTCAAACAAATAGTATACAATGCAAAAATTATGATATATAAATAAATGTTAACCTTCTTTATCTTTTTCGAGAAAAAAAAACTACTCTGGAAAGGAAATCTTTCTATTTTGTTATTATAGATTGATAGAAAATGTTGTTTTCTTTCAAATCGTTTATAACTTATTTTTCTTACACATTCATGAACAAAACAATAAAAGAAGAAAGAGAAATAACTACAAAATGAATTTACCCTAGAAATATGCAGGATTACAAAAACAAAATTTGTCGAGACCGGAATCGAATTTCAAGTTTATAGTAAAATATTCTATGGCCTTGAGCAGATTGTCTCAAGGAAAAGACAGCTGAAATCAGAGCTCTGTTTTTGATTAAAAAATCGAGAGGAAACATTTGATTTTTTATAAGTTTTGATCAACTTCAATTAAAAAAAGAATCAGCTATTTCCCCCTTAAATGATCTTATCAATCATATAAATCAGAACATGATATTCAAGAGAGATGACCAAAAAAAACTGTTAAGCATCGACTAAATGAATAGAAAAAAAAACCAGTAGGAAAAAATTATTTTGAATATACTACGAATAAATTCTAGAATAGTTTTCTCTAGACCGAAACCGGGACTACTAGAAAAGAAGTTGTCGGAACTGGTACCAAAAAAAAAACTTGATTCCGCACATCTCTAGTTCACACTTATTATAGCAAAGTTACAACACAATATCTGGAATCTCTATATCTGTTCGATAAAAATGTATTGATAGGATATTATTTTGTTCTTTGAACCTGTTTATAATGTATTTTTATCACACATGTATAAGCATAATGATGCACGAAAAAATCAAGACAACAGTTGTATGATAATCTCACCAATTTTGTAAGAATTTGGCAAGATAATATTTAATTATAATCGCCTATTATTTTACAAGATCTTTTTCTTTTCACAAGCCTATATATATTAAAATCGTAATCTTCTTTTACAAATACTTTTCTTTGTTCTCGTGTTATTTTCTTTATGAATGTGTAATAAAAAATAAAAGAGAAGAAAATTTCCTATATGAATAATTCGCATAAAATTCTTTTCAGAAGTCGTTTAACGATAAACTATAAGCATCAACTTTTTGGGGCCATTACTTTTTGCATCGTATAGTATTTGTTCGAAACAACGAAATTAATTTTCGGATTGAGATAACATTTTTGGTGGAGAACACATTTCTATAATTTCTTGCATTGATGCAATAGGAAGATAGTCATAGCTATGCTTTTCAACTATCGAATCATCCTCAACAGGCACGTCATCTGGAGTAGACTAAAAAAGAATAATGATAAATAAGAGACAATATTGAGATATATATTACTGAGTGTACTGAATCTGGATTACTGACGCTTATTGAAACATTTGATGATGTTTTATGTTCAATAGAGTTTATATATAGATTTGAATTTGCTTCATCGTTTGTTCGTTTATTTCCATTATTAACCTAGAATACATATTATGTATACTAATCATTAGCACGATATTAAATATTTTACTGGTCGGTATACATGTCTTGGTTGATTTCTCGAAAAACTATATACAAAAAAAAACCAAGTATTATAAAAATAAAATAAAAATCTATTGAATCACTTACTAAAACACAAGACCAATAATAATGCATAAAATTAAGATTAAAATAATTATAATGACGATAAAATAATTTTGATTATAAAGAAAATCTTTAATGAAATTAAATGATATTAATTTTTTTTTGTAATTAAATTTATTTAGTATCTTACTGAATTTACTCAATGTTTTCCTTTCTTGACATTCTTCTATACCATCTGGATCAGTATAGACTTGTCGACATTTCATACATACACGATAGAGAGTATTAGATAAAAGATTATCAATTAAAGTAGTATTTCGTTTTGTTTCGACAATTGTCCATGTCTAAATAGAAAAATTATTTAGACAAAAAAAAAAAGAATTATTTTTTTAAATGTAAATTTTGATTTACTTGATTAATAGTTGGATTTAATTTTGGTATAATACTTTTTTCACAAAATACTGATGAAAATGTAGATAAAAGTTTAATTTCAATTTCACTTGATGATATTGGTTGTAAAGTAAATTTAGGTGTTATTTGAAAAACTAAATAAATATATGATTTTAAATTAATTATTATAGGATCGTTTTATATACTTGTCTGCATTTGATATTTTATTAACGAAAAGAGATAAATGTTAACTATTCATTAAAAAATCAACAGTCTATAGAGAAGTAGTCGAAATAGAATTAATACAATAGTCTGTACTTGAATAAAATATCAAAGAGTTCAAGTTCTTTATTGAGAGACAATTATGGTGACATGTTTCTTTTTGATTTCGCTTACCAGAGAACTAACCGAATCTGATAACTCGCTATTTGAGCTCATATTGAGTCTACAAAGACTAGAAAAGTAAACAAGGAGTACCTCTAGCCTATAATAAAATAGTCTTTGTTTAGAAATAATTTATAAAGACTTATTTTCAATGATTATAAAATCTTCGTTCTAATTGATGACTTTTGATTCTCAATGATTTTCTTTTAGACAGTCAATAATGAACGAAATTTTTCTGATGGGTATTATCTGACAGAACTTTCTCATTCAACAGAATCAATCAAAACTTTCAAAATAATCTCTATTGTAAATATTTAACAGCAAATCGTATCCGTTTTTTTTTCCTGTAACAAAATAAATTATCTATTTTCGTTATTGTAAGAAGAACTCGATGTATATTAATCTATCAATGCATTATCATTTACCATAAAAGATATCTTTGTTTTATATAAAACGTCGTACCTGGTGTCATATCAAAATAATAAGATGATACATTAAAATAAGGTAACATTGCTTTCATATGCATTCGAACTCTAGGTGGAAATTTTCCATCTGTAATTGGTCTCCATTTAAATGTCAAATATTCATTTGTACTTTCTTGTTCTAAAAATTCAACACGTGATACGTAAGCTAAATTATCAGGACTAGAAAATCAAAACAAAAAAAAAAACAAAATGAAAATATTTTTATATTTTACTGTTCAGAACTTACGAATGACTAATTTCATTAAATTCAAATTTAGGTGGATAACCATTTTGAATAGCACGTGCTATGGTTGGTGCTCGAATCTGACATTTAATATATTGTTTATCATAGACTCGACATCGCTCGACAAGTTGAAGCACACCTGGCGCAGCTGAAAAATACATTCTTTTTTTATTTTATTTGAATCGTATATATATTTATAAAGAGAAAGAAAAGAAAAGATATATTTATGTAGTCGTGTGAAAGTAATATCAGTATGAAAACAGTGTTGATTCTTTACCTTTGACAATAACATCAGTACGAGTGCCACTTGCTTTTTCGCCATTACTATAGCATAATAAATGGAAAATTCCTACGTAATTTTTTGCTTCAAGTTGAATATTAATTGCAGTTTTATTTAATATATTAGTATTTATTTCAATTTCATTAGATGAAATTATTTTTGATAAACTTGTTTTTAATGGTTTATCATTTGATTCATGATTTATACATGTAAAATTAATGGTACTTATTGAATCTATAATAACCCTACTAGGTACTAAGAGAAAAAAAATATATTCAAGGCTAATATGAAAAAAATGTTTATACTTATTTCAATATTTGATAAACGAAATTCCGATCCGGACATTTGAGTATAACCAAAGTTTATTGAAGTGAATAAGATGAAAACAAACATAAATCGGCATTGTCTCTGTTGAGTATGTAACATTTTTTATGCTATGAAAAGCAAACAAAAATCGTCCGTTGCGTGGTACTCTTCACTTATTTCTTTGCGACTGAAAAAAAAACAAAACTGAGTATATTTATTACTTTGAAGAAATTTGTGTCTTCAAAATAAATGAAACAAATACATTTTTTAACAGACAGAAAAATTACTAAATGCAAAAAAAAAACATATTGTATATTCACATGGATCAAAGAAATATTAAAGGATAATATTAATATAGTAGACGACAGAGTTAATTATATTAATTATGTTTTTTTTGGATCAATAGAGTATCTTCAAAGATTGATGTATGTATTTACACGAAAACATATTTATTGCTGAAAATGCAACCATAGATGTCATACTGCTCAGCATAATTTTCGAATATTTGACGAAATGGAAAGAAGAAAAAAAAAAGCACAAAAATAATTTATTTCTTTTTCGCTTGAAAAAAGAAAAACAACCATATCAAAAGTGTTTTTTTTTATGATGAGATATATGATTCAACCCAGTTACATTAATTTCAAGGTAAAAAAAACTCAGCAAAAGTAACCTCACATTTTTAAATACAATTAATAATTATACGAACGTACTTAACGTGCATGTAACAAAATTTTCTTATGGATAACTAAAAAATCTATTCAAACTATTTCACAACGTCGATATATTAAACTAATCTAAAACTATGGTTAGATAGATTATTTATCATCGTCAGCTGTTTTTTTCCTATATTATATCTAATCTTAAATTATTCTAGTTTGTGCCATAATTGGTTTAGAAAACAAGGTATATTAATGTAAATATAATAAAATGTACAACATAAAATAATAAAAAATAAGTAAAATACAAAAATCACCAACGAATGAGAACATGAAGAAAAAAACAAATAAAAAACTACTCATATTCACAAAAATCTTGATTTTGAATAAAACGACAAAAAAACATTTTATTCAAATTTTCCATACATTATGCTTAGCAACATTATAGATTCCTCAGTTAAGCAGCATGCATGTTTACTTAAGTAGAAAAAATAAAATGTTTCAAAAAAAATTCTCTTTGTTCTATTTATTACGTCTCAAAGGGTTTTTCTCTGCTTCTTTCAAACACGAGTATGTTTGTCTTATTCATCAACTAATAAAATGATTCACTCAACGCTTTTCTTTTAAGACGGAAATTTCTATCATAGAATAACAAATCAATGAAAGTGTACTACAATTTTAAAATAAATTTCTCTAGATGAAAAGAAATTGAACGTATAATCATGATGAATTTTTGTTCAATTTCTTATATAAAATTGAGGTGTAAACTAATGAATAGGTCACTTGTGTTGGCTAAAACTTTCGGAGAAGTTTTTCTAAGATTTTTTTTTTCTTTCCTTTTTATTTTCAAGGTCTTCTCTAATATAGAAGAGGAAAAAATACCGTCAAAATATGACCTTAAAGGTCGAAAATTATAAAAAAAATTTTTTCTACGTTTTCTTTTGCCCTGACAACAACTAAAATTTTCAACAACGATCTGCAATAAGAGTAATAGTTATGGCTTAATGAATTGACTTCATTTTTTATGTACGAACCACTTGCTATGCATCGTTGTTTAAATAAAATTCGGGCCATTGAAACAAGGTTATTTTTTTTCTTCATATAATAAAGAAAAGAGAAAAAAAAACTTATTTTTGCTAAGTTCAAGAGAAGAGTACAAGTAACGAAAACAAACATATTATTTTCGTATCAAAAGTTTCAGCACATCGCACATAATATAAAAGAAAAAGCTACTGTATATTAAGTGCAAATTATTATTTAAAATTCAGAAATAAAATAAAGATGGCTGATGATATTATATATTAACTTGTTTTGATTTCATCATTGATGTATGGTTGTAATATCTTGAGACACAATCTAGATTTTTTTATACAAATAAGAAAATATTAAAAATAGGTATAAAGATACAAGATTGAAAAGAATAAGAAATTACCTTACATGGATCTCAAGTCGTTTCATTAAAAGACTTAAACAAAAGAGTATCTTGGTCATCGTTTATTTTTCCCTAAAATAATAACATAGTTTTCTAAATAAATAATTTATTTCTCATAAACAAGAAAAAAAAAACTTCAAAGAACATTGCCGTTTTTTGTTGTCGTTGTCTGATGCAATTCTAATTTCTTTTTATTTTTAATTAATAAAAAGCCTATATTAAAAATAAGACATAAATCTTTGAAATACTTACAATAAGGCTATAATAACGAAGAATAAGAGACAAAGCAAGCTTATAAAAATACTTATAATACAATTCATACACAAATCTAAATATAAATTTTAAAAAAAATATGCAAAAAAAAAACCATTAAGAAGAAAAATACTTGTTGTTTTTTTGAAATTATTCATATAAGATATACGATTAGTTTCAATCTGTTTCTATTGACATTTTATATGGAAATAAAATAATCTTTTTTTGTAACTTTAGATGTCTATTAACACTGCATAATGTTCTAATAAAAACTCTAAAAGGATTTGAGTTCCTATTGAGATTTAGCTAAGCTATCGAATTTTTAATATGTCTATTTTCTAGAGGTATCCTGTGGGCCTTGGCTGATCGGAATTTTGTCAATAAGACTTTCACCGATAGAACATTTACCGATAACGAAAGTTCAGGGGGTGTGTTGGTGCAATTTCAGAACCTTTAGAATACCAGATTTTCTGAAAAATCAGATTTTCGAATTTTGATCTGAAACTTTGCAAATATGGAGAATTCAAATAGACTAGCTTACATTAAAAACATTCGGAAATTTTGAGCCAAGTTTGTTCCAGGTATGAAGCTTTGAAAAAATACATGTTGTATGCAGTATCCATGGAAAAAAGCCTATATCTTGAGAGTCTAATATTTCGAAGAGATTTTGTTCAAAACTTCTGAATTTTTTTTATGGAAGTTAGTTCAGTTGATTTCTCTAATTCAAAATTCGATAGCTTAGTCAAATCTCAATAGTAGCTCAAATCCTTTTAAGGTTTTTATTGGAACACTGTAATATCTCTAGGCAAAAAAAAATCATTGAAATCGGGGGACAATATCTAAGGAGACTCTCTCGTAAGTAGTATAAACAATATCGTCACAACAATACTAAACACTTAAATGCTTGGTATATATTAACAGTCCATATTTTTTCCGATCAAGTTTGTACAGAATCTAGCCGAAAAAGATCGTAGATTATTTATCTACACTTTTATCAATTCATCATTGAAAAAAAATTTTGACATCTCATTAAACCATTCTATAATTGATTACTTTTTTTTCAAATTAACAAATCTCTCAAGATTCCATAGTTGTTCTGTATTCTTCATTTCTCTAATATCTTTTATGAACAATACTTTAAAGTTTGATATCTATTACATTCAACATCGCTAATTGTATCAAATGATTCATGACGACGACAATGAAACCGCACACAATAGCAACTATTAGGATGTAAATTAGTCGTGTAAATAGTCGTTTGATTAATATCCTTAAATGTTCTAACATTTTCTCTCTAATAAAAAAACAACAACAATGTTTTAATAATAATTTTCAAAAGATACACTCTGCTTTATTTGATTTGAACTTTGAATTTTCTCATCTATGGTTAAATTTCTTTGACAAAATGTTAATGATGAAAATTTTTCTCGATTAAATTCAATTTGTATATCAATAGATGATACAATTTGAACAGTAAAATTTGATGATATTCAAAAAACCAATTTTTCAAAATGCTTGTCAATTCTTTTTTTTTTTGTTTTTTAATTTCAAAATAAAATATTACTTGATGTCACATCCATTGTATAATTAGTTGTACCAAAATGAACTATTGTTCATAAATAACTATTTTTATTCCCAATGAAAAATATCCAGCAATTTTTGGAAACTATCAAAAAGTCAAAGTTTTATTAATATTATCAATTTTTACTAATTTAGGATGTTGTCGATAAACTTTAGATTGTAAACTAAATAAAATAGAAAAAAAAAAAGAAATGAAGAATTTCAAAGAGAGAAAATCTATTAACTATAGACGACGTTCAATACAATGAAACATATAAGTTAATCGATTATTAATTGCTTGTATCGTAATTGGTGCTCGAATTTTACAATCGATATATTTATCATAATATACAATACAACGATTTGCATGCATAAGTAAACCAGGTGATTTTTAAAGATATAAAATAATCAAAAAAAACAATACAAGCCTATGAAATTTATTTCTTACTCCCAATTATAGTATCTGAACGAGTACCAATGCCTATTTTTCCTTTTGATGAATAAATAAGATGAAATGCATCTATATAATGAAATGATTGCATAATTGTTTCAATAGCTGTATTATTAAGTCTATTAGTAGAAATTGGTATATATTCTGAATAAATATTAAATGACAAATTAACATTAGAATTTTGATAATCATCTTTTTCTTTTATGCATATAAATTTTGTTGTGCTTATTGAATTTAATATTACAATTTTAGGTTCTATGAAAAAAAAACTGAAATGAATAATTCATGTACTATCAAAAGGATCTTTGTAGCTTTCTTATGTCAATATTTGAAATAGAACAAGTGCTCGGTTTAGTTCGTATGAATATTAATAATAAAATAATAATCCACAGTAACATTTGTATAAAATACACGAATAAATAATTTTTTTTTCTTTTATTAGTTAAATGTGCCTTATATAAGTTGCCGACAATGCGAATTTTCAGTAAAAAATTTCTTTTCGCGTTTTTTTTTTACATTATTTGATAGAGCTTGAACTGTTGATCATGAAAAACTACTTTTTAGCCTTAGCAAATACTTCCTTCCGGTTGAAAAATACAAAATACTTGAGAGGTGTCGTTTTTCGAGGAAAATGCATTCTTTGCAAAAATGTGTCAAATTCTCTATTTCGTTTGTATTTTTTGTTTCTGGAAATCATTTTTTCAGATTCAGCATTAAAAACTGAGTAGAAATAAATTGTTAAATCGACTCAAGAGCGAAAACTCTATTGGTGGTGGCGCTTCGAATAGCGTCGAGTGTATCACGTATAGGTCGATTTTCTAAACATATCTAGTTTTTCTATATAAGAGATAGAGCCAAATATTTTGTTTCATTCTACTTATCATACCACCCTTCAACACGCCTAGTATCGGTTCTTTTTCTTTCCTTTCCTAAGTTGAGAAAACTCATTTTTACTGAAACTATAGCTATTTTAGGCGGTATTCAATGGTTTTCGAATTCTAAAAAGAGTTTTAGTCGCAAACTAAATGCAGATTCGGAATCAGCATAGAAAATTGAGTCAAATGAAGTGTCTTTCGAGTTAATTTGACAACTTTCATTTTTTGACCCGTATACAAGAACTTCAGTTCTCTGATATCATCCGAAAAATTGAGAAAAAATAAAAGTTGTCAAATTAACTCGAAAGACACTTCATTTGACTCAATTTTCCATGCTGATTCCGAATCTGCATTTAGTTTGCGACTAAAACTCTTTTTAGAATTCGAAAACCATTGAATACCGCCTAGAATAGCTATAGTTTCAGTAAAAATGAGTTTCCTCAACTTAGGAAAGGAAAGAAAAAAAAACCGATACAAGGCGTATTGAGGGGTGATATGATAAACAGAATGAGACAAAATATTTGGCTCCATCGCTTACGTAGAAAAACTAGATAGGTTTACAAAATTCACGTATACAGGGTGGACTCGACGCTATTCGAAGCTTCCCCACCAACAGAATGTTGGTTTTAGAGTCGATTTAACAACTTATTTCCACTCAGTTTTGATCCTGAATCTGAAAAAAATATTTTCAGAAACAAAAAATAAGAACGAAATAGAAAATTTGACACATTTTTGCAAAGGATTCATTTTTCTCGAAAAACGACACCTCTCAAGTATTTCGTATTTTTCAACCGAAAGGAAGTATTTGCTAAGGCTAAAAAGTAGATTTTCGTGATCAGCAGCTCAAGCTCTATCAAATGGTGTAAAAAAAACGCGAAAAAAAATTTTTACTGAAACTTCGAATTGCCTGCACCTTACATATTTTATAAAATGGAAAAATCCCATATTGAAAAGTGTTCTCCGATCGATTGAATGTTGACACAAAAAGAAAAAAAAAGTAAATATTTTGGCAAAAAAGGAATTTTTTTCTTCTCTTTTGTTTAATTTTGTCAGAATGAAATATTGAATCACAAAGCAGACATGATACTCTTATTCATCAAAAGTTTCTGAATAATAAAAAATATATTATGAATGAAGGATAAACAGTTGATGTTGAAAGAAAGGAGGGAGATCGTTAAGCGACGAAATCAGCCCCTCTTGAAACTGAATTTATTATTTTTCCAACAGTCAATGCAGATGTCAGGAGCTGATTATCGTTCGATTTAAACCATTAGACTTTATTCTGGCTGCGTGCAGTTACTTCAAAACTCGATAGTACCGATCTCGTACAGCTTTGTGTTATGCAGTTTTCACATGGCAAGTTTGTCTGCCTTCTCCAGTTTCTTTGTTTCGACTCATATATCAAATGAAAGCTCTTTATTTATTCTATTGAATGACATACACATGTAAATTATGCTGAACAGTTTCTCTTCGAGAAAAATACTCGTGTGATTAAACTTATTATTGACTACGAAGCACTTGCAATTGTAACAGATTATATAACCAATGATACAACAAGTTGCAACTGTGCTAACTTGCAAAGTATTGATATAAATGGGCCGTTTGTTCGTCCAAAACAGTTTCATCAATATTTTATTTTATTGTAAATAATATTTCTTTTGTTAAAATTTGTTTCAATAAAGAATATTTTGAGAAAGTTTATTATATATTTTTGATCATGATACAGAATACTACAAATGATTTTGTTTGTTAAATAATTCGAATTAATTCCGAAAAAAAAAGAAATTTAAATCTCAAGGATATTAAAATGCATATAATCTTGCGTTCTATGAAACGTTTGCTTAATCGACATCAATTGTCATACTGACATGAAAGCAAATATTGATCAGTTGGAACATAATAAATATACGCAAGTAAAGTAAGTGAACAAATACTGCTATCTATAGGAACGTATTTTTACATCAACTATTATATAAAGTTATCAAATCGAGAACTTTAAGTTCAGAGCAATTTCTCTTAGATGTAAGTCTACTGCATTATATATTCTAGAAAAAAAAAATAAGAATAAGAGGTCAAATAATAACGGCGCGAAGAAATAAGCAAAAAAATGAGGTGTATGTCCTTTAATTTGACCAGCGGGATATACTAGGTTGGAAATACTATTTTGCCAGGGGATACCACGGTAGTTTCAAATAGAGTAACTAATGAATTTTATACCAAACGAAAGCTCGTCAAAAATGGAGTTTATTGGTAATAAACAATAAGGATTATAGAAACTTTTGTATGTTGAAACGTCTAAATTTAGGAAATTTCACCGATCATAGCTGTGAGAAAAGTTATTGATGAGAGAAAGTTGAAACTAAATGTGATACAAAATTCTTTATTTTTTCGTTGTCTAATGAAATAATCAATATGACGACCATTAGCGTTCTGTACTGCACACAGTCGAGATGATTACAAACATAGAAGAGTTTCAAATAAATCAATGTCAGTTTTCATGTTTGTCAAAACATCTAAAATGTGCAGTTTGTGTGTTTCTTCAAGATAATGAAAATGTTCGGTTTATGATAACATTTTTTTTTTCAACTTAGAAGGAAATATTTCATATTAATTAATTCCCCATAAATATCTATAGAGAAAATTAACGTCATAATGAATATTCATTCGATATAAAATATGTTAACCGTTTATTTTTATTTAAGAAAAAAATATTTTCTGTATTTTTTGTATTAAAAAAAGAAAAAGAACGAAAAATTATATTATTTTGATATATGTTGTTAGTATAGATATGCTTACCATTGATGTCTGGTTAAAATTTACAATCTTTATAACTGTTTCTTTTCTTATTTCTTTTGCAATCAACATATAAAGCAGTAGTATACACACATACATGGATTTATATCAACATCAATATGATTTTTCAGTTAATCAAGTAGTTAAAAAATGGCGAACATTAACTGCAAATGATAGTATTCTTCTTAAACAAGAATTTGATGTTTGTTTTATATTTTCAATTAAATTTTTTATTTAAAAAAAAAATAATAATAAAATCTTTTTCCTCATTATTATTAGACTCTTCGAAAGATGGATGAAAAACGTATAACTATTGCAACAAATCCAATTAATAAATCTAAAAATCGTTATCTATTAATTTATCCATGTCAAAATAATAGAAATATTTTTATTTATAATTTATAATTATTATTTAAATTTAGATGATGAACATTTTTGTCGAGTCTCTTTGAAGAAAAAAATCAATAATCAAACGAATGATGATTCTGATTATATTAATGCATCAATTATACGTTGTATTCTACCGGTATGAAATATATCAAAAACAAAAACAAACTATTTCGAAATATTTAGTTATTGATTTATTATAGGATCAAATCACTACAGCATCTACGTCAAGAATCTTTTATGCAGCTCAAGGTTAAAAGATTTTTATTTTCAACAAAAATTTCAATTTCTATTTTCAGGACCTACTGAACAAACGATTGATGATTTTATAGAAATGATTGTTGAACAACAAATAACTGTGATTGTTATGCTTTCATTTAGTTACGATCCAATAACATGTATTTATGCGGTTAGTTAATTATTTTAATTTTTTTTTGTTTTGGTCTTCTATTTATAAAATATTTTTTATAAAAACAAAAAAAAAATACTTTAGCAAGAACATGCAGCATATTTTTCTGAAAAAGTAAATGCTGTTATTGAAACAAAATTTTATAAAATTCGTACAACAGCTATTATTCCAGCATATCGTTATATTGGTCGATGTTTACGTATTAAATCAAAGGTAAAATAAAAAAAAAGATAATTAAATAGTTAAATATGATTTATTTAGTTAACAGGTTCTGTTTACAATTGTGAACAATACCATTATCCTAATTTTATCGATAAGCATGTACCAATTGATTGTCATTCAATGATTGGCCTTGTAATGAGATTACTTGAACCAAATAATCGAAATTGTCGTATACTTGTTCATTGCAAGTTAATATTAATCAAAATTATTTATCTATTTTGTAAATATATTAAAATTTTGTAGTGCTGGTATTGGTCGAACAGGTGTATTTATTGCACTTTATTATTTAATTGAAGCTTTTCAAAATCGTTATATATTAAATGTTAAACAATTAGTTGATACAATTCGTCTTTATCGAGCAAATCTTGTTCAAACAATTGTATGTAATATCTACATTTTCAATGATAGATATTTAATAGACAGATTTCATTTAGGAACAATATGAATATATATATCAATGTTTAGCTGAAGTTGCTATTCATCCATGTGATGGTCGACCATTAGATAAATTTATTGAATATTGTAATAATCTATTACCAACAGCACGCTTAAAAGATAGTACAATTTATTATGATTTTAAGGTAACTTTTATAAAGGATCGATAGATCGTTACAGATGCTTTAGGGAACTTTTCCTCATGTCCCAAGGTGTGATAGACATTGTTGACATAAGATCAAAGACTATATATCAATAACATCTCGTTATACGATATGAACTGTTTCCTGATTGCATTTCTGCAAAGAATAGTGAAGAAATGTGTCTCAAAATAGATAGAATAAAACAATCTCCTTATGCTTAGTAACAACAGTTACATCTTATTTCACATTTTAATCCGGCAGGGATTACGTTAACAACTTTTTTTTTCATAATTGATATCTCGAAAAAAGTAATTTCATTAGTAGGTTTTTTTTTTATAGAATCGTACTAATAGTATTTTACCGGATACATATTTAACAACAATTATGGCACAACAACATTCGAATTATAATCGAAATGAAATATTTGTTCCTTGTAAAATTCGATTTTTGTTTTTTATATTTAAGAAAATTTTTGACTGATTGATTTAGATGATCATAATCGCGTTATACTTCATTCACCAAGTGAAACAATGTATATCAATGCAACAAAAGTTACAGTAAAATTATTGTCTCTTTCTTTTTTTCAATCTTCTCATAGATTAGTCAATAGAATATAATTAGACCAACTGGTACAATTTTAACTCAAGAACCAATGAAATCTACTCTACAACCATTCTTTTCTATGCTTCTACAAGAATATAAAATATTTATTGTTGCTGTTGAACAGGTTTTTATTAGATAATAAATTCATTTTTTTTATTATAGTTTTAATAATTAAAATATATATTTAAATCTAGATGGAGAAATCAAATTATACAGAATCAGAATTTATTAGTCAAAATCAAATAAAAGTTGATATTCTAACGGTTAATCCATCAAAAAATAAATTTGGTGATTATTATCGATCACATAAAATAAAAGTAAAATATGTATGTTAATAATAGATAAATAATTGAATAAATTTCTGATAATATCGATATTTTTTCTTTTTGTTTAGAGTAATATACGTGAATCTGATGTATTCATTTTTGAATATACTGGTGAATGGACAAATGATGGTACATATGTACCTAAGAATCTTGAACAATTTGTTCGTTTTGTTGATCGATCAATTTATCATCAACGTAATATTGATCCAACTCGATTTGGTCTTGTTGTTCATGATCGGTTAGTTTAAAATTTACTAATCAATATGTAGATATTTTACGACTCCAAGGTTTTCCAAATTATACAAGAAAACTAGCCATATGTTTTGTTTTGTTTTGTTTTGCTCAATAATTAACGAGTATCAAATAGAGTTGCAAACAGCAAATTTCATGAGTAGAGATATGTAGATTGAAGTCTTTTTTTCTTTGATCTCAATAAATTTGATTTGCATCTGTTTTTTTCTTCTATGTAGTGATGGTGGTACAAAAGCAGCATTTTATTGTATAGTACAAAATTTATTCGATCGTTTATTAATTGATGGTCGTGTAGCTATTGAAAATTTTGTTACTCATATTTGTCAACAACGAATAAATGCTTTAATATCATTGGTAAATATGAATAAAATATTGTCTAATAATTCATATTTAGTTTATTTTTTAGGAACAATATATTGCTCTTCATCAAATTGTCTGTATTTGGCATAATTTAAGACATCGAGGAGCATTGGAATGTAATTGTTAATATTTAAATTTAAAATAAAAAACAGAAAAACCGATCTTGAAAATAATCTAGATGTGTTTTTTTTTTCAAAGAGAATGTGAGTTATAATCAGTAAAATGGTCAGTAAATACAATTTATTAACAGTTGATTGTATCAAAAGGATCAATATAAAAATTGAAATAGTTATATAATGAATCACTTTTGTTCTTTTTTTTCCTTTTTCTTCAGCTATTCTAGATATCTTCTCGTTCTTCTGACCTACTTCGTTTGACCTATATATTTTGTCAATAAGAAGAATCATTGTTTTAATGCTTCTTATTATTCACTATCTAAAACAAAGGGAAAAAACCCTCCTCGATTTCTTCCCTGATCGTTGTGTTTATCTATTCCCATATGTAAATATTTAGTACTTTTCAAATAAAAATAACATAGTTTACGTTTACAAAATTTGATGTATTTGTGACTATGGAAGTGTGTACAAGTTTCTCGATATGTCAGAGAAAAGAGATGATGAAAGAAGGTCATGAAGTAAATAGATTTCTTCAAATATTATTAATAATCATTAGTCAACCGAATGTGAGTCATCCTCAGTTAATGTAAAAATATTTGCTACAGAATCAACAATACCTTTAGAATGACGAACTTCATCACATCAATAAAATATATTGTTTGTATTTCAAATAATTCTTCGAAAAAAAAATTCTATACCAGCTCGTGATTTACAATCGATTATACAAGATGATTTAAATAAAATTGATAAAAAAATGGAAAATGATTCACATTGAAAAACATCGAAATAACCTGTCCAGCTTATTAAAATAATTATATATGCAGGTACATGGTAGGTATGGCTACACGCGTCTTTCTTAAATATAAATTGAACTAAACATGAAATACAGATTGACTCAAAAGTGACGGAAAATAGAAATTTTTCGATTTCTTCTTTGCACATGGTCAGTTAGACCTTGTATTTACATCATGTGTATTAGGTGATACAAGTAAAAGATGTATCATCTAGTATATCTGGTGTAAATATGAGGCTTAACTGATCATGTACAAAGAAGAAATCGAAAAAATTCCGTGTTCCCTACCTTTTGACTCTGCAGTCAACGATGACCACTAGCGTCTTCTTTCGTAATGTCATAAAAATCTATTGGTTAGTTAAATTATTTTGAGGGAACAAAGACGAAAACAGGAATCAATAAAATAGACGAAAAAGAAACGAAGTCTTTTGAGTCATAAGAAAACGAATGGCTGAACTTAAACGTTTGTTTGCTTCATTAGAAAATGCTGAATTAGCTCGTGCTCAAATTGATGAAGAACATTCATCAATACTTAATCAATTACATGCACTTAGTGCACATAGTCATATGGTTAAACATAAATATTTAACAACTATGAAAGATACATTTACTTGTCAGTTTTTTTAATGAAAAATAAATATTATTTATTCATAATTATTTTTCTAGCTAATCTATCTCGATATCGTGATGAAGATCTTCGTGTACGTAGTACTAATTTAATTAGTAAGTAGATTTTATTTTAGATATAGATTTTAAAAGTATATTTTTTATTTTGAATAATATATTAGAAGAAAAAACAATTCAAGTTAAATGGCCAATAATTAATAATAATGAAAAACAAACAGAAAATCTTTTAATTTTACAACAAATTAAAAATTTTGATAATGAAAATGAAATTCCGCCACCATTAATTATTAATAATAATCAAGCATATTTAATTGATAATTTTGATTTAATTAAACAACGTTATTCATCATTGGCTGATTTTAATCTTTCTCGTGGTAAGATTTTCTTTTTGTCTTTTTTTTTATTTAGTTCTCTATTAAAAAATTTCAGATGGCAAACAATTACGAATTACATTCAAACCACATAATATATTTGTCGTATTGGAAGCAATTACAAATGGTCGACATGGACAAAGTTGGAAAAGTAAGATTATTATTAGTTTTTTTTGTTCAATAGATATCGTAGAAAGAAATTTAGCTATTATAAATGTCTCACCAAGAAAGTCCTTCCTTTAACTGATAAGTTATTTTTCAGTCGAGACTATGTGAGTTTTTATGAGATATGAATATTCTGAAAAGACTTTGTGTCCATTGCTTATTGCTGTAGAGATATTGCACTTTTATGGTATTTTTCAAATGAATACCTTGGGAACACTAGAAAAATTGATTTTCGACTTGAAACTTTCCATAGAGACAGACATTAACGAAAATAGTTTTCTATAAATGTTTAAGATCTTGTCACTGTTCCTATTCTAAGATATAAACTATAGTAATAGCATGTTTTTGGCAATAGCTATTCTCATTAAAGTCTATCTCTATGCAAATTTTCAAGTCAAAAATCAATTTTTTTGTTATAACGACATTTGTTTAAAAAAAATATCGTAAAAGCGTAGTATCTTCTCTATAGCAATAAGCTAAGGACACAAACTCATTTCCGAATATCCGTAGCTTATAAGAATTCACATAGTCTCGACTCAAAATTAATTTTTATCCATTCGAAGATTTCTTACATCAAGAAAAAAAATTTCTTTAATTGTTTCTCTTTTTTTTAAAATATAAAAAAATTTTGAAAATCTATTTTTTAGTTATTGATTCAATGCCTAGTCTACCATCATTTACTCAACTTAATACAATAATTCGACAAAGTAATAATCTTACAGCTGAACATTTATGTCTTATACGAGCATGTTTACTCAAACAACAAAACATAAATGAATAATAATATTAAAATATTTTTTGATTGTATAGAGAAAAATAAACTAGATAAAATGTTTTAATCACATTTTGTGTAAATAAAATTAAGATCGTATCAAATAGCAATATTGCCTAAATTTTATTTTTCTTTTATTCATCATAATAAGAATAATAATATCATTTGATTGCGAAGTGAATATAATATAAAATCAATAAGTTTTCGTCTATAAATGAGTCGAAATAGTTCGAAGTCCTTTCGATTCTGCTTATATATACATATAAAGGATGTTTCAGAAGTTTTGAAACAATTTTAACATTCATCGTTCTTATATCTAACAATAGCAAACGCTTTAAAACTTTGGCAAATTATTGTATCTACTTGGTATTCAATAACTATCAATTTTCAGATCTATAGTTTTTACTACAATTGAACAAACAGTAACAATACAATCATGTGTTATTTCATCAGAATATTCCAATAAGTTATATTGGTAAATCTTCTAGACAAGCTCCATTTTTTCATCGATAAATGATTTTACTTATGACAAGTATGCTAAATTCATTTGAATTATTGTAGCAGAAAAAGCAGGTAAAAATTTAGATGATTTATGAAATGTAATTTTTCAAGATCATCAACAACAGATGCAGGTGGCTTTGAATAATGTCGAAGATGCTTTTTTCAGCAAACTAAACCAAAAAATTGTGATGAAAAACTAGTCGAGGTTTAGCCCATGGGAAACGCGTTTTGAGTGCATTAAAAAATATATAACGAAGGCGGGGAATACAATAATATTGGACAACTGAAACATGATATAACAATATCTTCATGTCAACGAATAGTAGATAAAATATCAGGACGATTAAAATTAATAATCGAATGTACAAATATTCATTTACTTGATCAGTGTTTCTTCGTATTCCAAAAAACTTTTTTTCATTTCAAAATATTAACCGAGATAATCGGAAAAATCGATAAAATAGTACATGATCATGTTGGCACAGTTTCTCAACCGTAGTAAAACTCTCAGATCTGAAGCATTGTAGTTATTTAGTACCAAGCAGATACAATAACCTTCCAAAGTTGCAAAGAGTTTATTGTTGCTAAATGTATGAATGATGAGTTTGTAAATCATTTGTGAAGTTTTGTGATACTTCTTAGATTCTGATGAAGATATACACAAAGATTGAATTCTGACAAATTAGATAAACTATTGTCTTAGTAATGTAGAATACATTACTAGGTGATCATGTTATACACGGATATTATTCTTGTTCTTAATACTAATTCATTTAAACAACGTTTCTATTTTTTAAAATCGATATCTGTACCCAAGACGAACTATATGAAATCCATACTACGGCAATTTACGGTCATTTGTAAGCGTACTTATTTGATCTGAATATTTTTTAGTACTTTAAAAGAAAACAAAACGAATTTAAATTTAACTTAAAAACGATTGTTTCGATTACATTTCAGCATTCACATCAAGAAAATAGGAACTTTATATGAGATAGGCTTTGATTAAAAAAAGATGCATCAAATTATACAGATTCATAGGAATGGAATTTTAATATTCCTGAGAATGTTTACACATGAATATTTAATCTACTTCATTGTTTATTAGATTCTATATGACAAGGAAACATCATACTTGTCTACTTTAAAATGTATTTTGATAATCGTCTAAAAATACCATAAATATAAACTATGCTGTTCTGCTCTGCTTGATACTATCATCATGGATAAGTATCCAAATATAATATATTTCAACATAAAGTTCTTCTTTAGTTTGCTATTCTATCATGATATTGCATTTCAGCGACATCTAATACAGATTTAATAATCATAATCAAAAGCAAACAGATATATTACTAATGATCCTAATTTTTTTTTATTAAAGACATATATATAGACAGAGAATATTGATTGTCGATTGTATAAATTTGTTACAAAAAAAACCGATCAAATATCGTGTTCAACAACAATAATCTAATATTTTTTTTTCCTTCCTTCGTGCATTTCACCAAGCAATCGCATGTCTTTACATTATCATGAACAACGTTCTACGTCGGTTGAAAGCAAAATAAGAGAAAAATAACTTTTTTTTTAAACCAATAAGAAAATAGAGTAAACGTGAGCGTACATAGATACATAAGCCGAACTAAGTAAAAATGCGAAAGAAAAAGAAAGCCTAAAATACAAACAGAATAGAAAAATCTGGAAGGAAAAAGAAGAAAAATATATGTTGGGGGAGAGAAAGACAGGCGAAACAAAAAAAAAATAACAATCATTCAAAGCACATATGACAGAACCAACAGCAATGGCGTCGATTGACGATGATGAACAATTATTAAATATAACAGTAGATAATTCGACGAATACTCATCGTCGATGTCCAACATGCCAAGGAACAGGTCAAGTAACAACATCGCCCGGTCTCGTTGCCTTAATTCCATTTGATGATGCTCGTCTTAAACGACGGCCTACACTTTTATGGATTATATTAACGGTTATTTTTTGTACACTTATTGCATCAGCTGTTATTGTTACTATTCTTCCACGTTCTGTACATTTATCTATCAAAAATCCAATTATTATCGATGCTACAAATGATACATTTCGAAATAACACTTTTTTTCGTTTGACATTTACACATCAAACACATATTCGATCAGACAATTGGGTACCAATACATTTAATTAATTTAACAACATCAGTTGAACATCAACTTTTACCAATTGGTCCTAATGCAGAAAAAGTTTATGGTCATAAAATGTTTTTAAGACCATTAGGTAGAATACAATCAAATATCACTGTACCACTTGATTTTGAGTCAAATACAATGGCATATCGTGCTTGTCAAGGAACATTTCGACAAATGCTTTTATTTAAATTACAAACAACATTAACCTATGCGGATTTTCTTCTTGGTCGAATTCAAACAACAAATAATATTTCTTATCAATATGTGCTATGTAACAACGGAGAGGGGAAATCACATGAAAGTATTGTAAAAAATATTACTTAAAATGTTTGATGACAATATAACACTCATTTTTAAATACGCAAAACAAAAAAAAACAATTCTTTTTCAAAATTGTTGTTTTTTTTTTAAGTGACATTCTTCTTTTGTTTTTTTTTTAATTCGACATATTCTTGTTGAATTTTCTTTCTTATTGATGAAAGACGAATGCGAATTGCAAAATTAAATTTAATAAAAATAAGACAAATTTTGTATTTTACAAATAATTCTTTACATCAAACAATAAAATAGTATTAAATTTCATTTGATGTCGATTCATTATCTTTTGGAAGATGAGAATAGGTCAATAGCAACCATTAATTTATATCACTATAAAATAATAAAAACAAAACGAAAACAAATTGACAATTCATAGAAATATTTTATCGAACAATAATTCTATGAATATTTTTGATAGTGTTCAAAATTATGAAAAAAAAATTGTATTGATATTTTAAAGATAGTCATATACCTAGTACATTATCATTAGAGCGTTGAAAAATGTAAATAATAAATTAAACTTGACACTATTTTCTACTTTACGTAAACAACATATTTCACATTCATAATTTCTAATACAGGTACCATAACCAAATTGATAAAAAAAAAACATTATAGTAAAAAATATAGTGAAATAAATTTCGATGAAATTTGATCTTTCACATACATTAGAATGTTCTGTCTGGCTAGATTTTCAGTTAGTAACTTAAAATTTAAATTTAAATCATTAGATTTTATTCATAATTGCATACGTATTCTTGTAGATCAATTATTTTCAAAGTACCGAACCTCTATAATTCCAAATTTTTCTATGATGATATACACTCTCGTACATTATATTTATTGATCAAGGTACATGCATATTCGTCTGCATTCATCCATGACAAATAAACGAGAAATATTAGCATAAAAAAAAGCATGTAACATATGTATGAACCTTTGTCATGAAGCATAACTTAATGGTGAAATTATTACAATACTGTAATTTAAAATTAATAATTTTATTTTTATTTGGATATATTTTAATAAATTTTTTTGCATCATATAAATCTTTTCCTAAAACAAATAATTATGATAAAATAATACATAATGAAAATGGACAACAATCAATTTGGACATATGAAATGAAACTTTTCTGTTTTAAAATTCAACAATATATTGATAATGAGAAAAAAGATAAATTATCGAATTTATTATTTAAACGTAACATTTCAATTATATCATCAAATTTAAACAAATATACTAAACAACAATCTAGAGAAATTTCTTATTATTATTCTAATTGGCGTTCTTCACCTGATTTACCTCGTCGACTTACTCCATGTGATCATCAATTATATATAGAACTACTTCGTATTCTTGATCATTTCTTTCGTCGACATAGTATCTCATATATGATGATAGATGGAACATTATTAGGTAAGAAAAACAAAAAGATTAGATTATAAATCATTTTTATTAACAAATAATTAATATATATGTTTTAGGTAGTTATACAAATCATGATTTTTTACCATGGGATGATGATGTTGATTTACGTGTATTAATGCGTGATCGTTCACGTATGTATACTCTTCTTCATCAAGAATTTGAACATACTATTAGAATATTAAATATTTCAAATGAATTTGGACGTTATGATATATTATATTTTCCTTGGTCACCAAAAGCTGGTATATACAATTGGTCATATCCTAATGTTCACATTACTTATTTAGACGAAAATTCTACACATGTTTGGAGAGAATATAATGATAACTATTCGATTCATGATTGTTCTATTTCTAAACTTGATATATTTCCACTTGTTTGGCGTCCATTTGGTCAAATATGGTTACCTGTAAGTTTTACTTTGAGTTTTTCAAAAACAAAATATGGTTTTATCATACATATATGATTTATAGGCTCCACGAGAACCTTTAGTCATTTTTGAATTACTTCAATGGAAATCATTTGATAAATTATATTATGCCAAAAATTATTCACATAAATATGAACGAGCAATACCATTTATAGATGGTCGTGCACGATTACATCAACTTTATCCATATTATCCTTGGGTGAAACGATATTGTTTAAAAACATATTGTATTGAACAACTTGTAGCAATTTACAATAATACAAATATTACAATACATACTGTGCAGTTTGAAAAATATAGAATAAAACCATCGTTTGATTCTAAATTAAAGAATAGAACCTGTTCATTATAATAGAAACAAGACTTATTCATTTTGTTGTTGAAATTTTAATGAATAGTAAAATATTTGCATGAACAAATGAAGAGATAGTCTATGAATAAAGAATTATATGAATGTTAAAAAGTTTTAAATGAGTTTAGGGATTTTGTTTATCAATGAAAATATATTTTAATTTTAAAATATATGACTCTTTCTTACGAATTCTTATTTATATCATGTTTAAATTAGAAGAATAAATTTTTCGATCTTTCATTTTGAATTCTTTTCTGTTCTATATATGCTTCGAAGTATTCTCTATCTATTAGACATATTTCAAGAATTAATATATACCTATAAAAGTCGAAAAAAGTGGAACATTTTCACTAGAAAACATCAAACTTTACACAGCATTTCGTTGGTTTTTTTTTGATGAAAATAACTGAGAACCTCCATCCGTTACTCAACCACAGTACATCCGTTCGAGTTGAAACTTTCTTCTACTTACACTAGGAAATATTTAGAGTGCCTATTCTTTTTTTTTACTTCAAAATATAATGTACCGCTGATTTTTGCGAGGGTTTATGAAAAGAAAATCATACATTTTTGAGCTGAGTATTTAGATCATTTTTTAAGAATAAACGAAAATAAAAAGAAACCATAAAAGTAAACACCTCAAACAGTATCTAGTATTTGTAAAAAAATTTCAGTATTATCACATGTATTGCAGCTGAGAAAGTGGAACAATAAGGGAAAGAGAGCAGGTGTCTTTTAGTCTTTTCGACCGCGACATCTTCCAAACGAAAGCGTTTATGAATTTTGAGTCGATGATAAATTTTTCTCTATTTATCTAGATCTATCTATCCTGACAGTTTTAAGATTTTCCGATACACTGTTCTCTAAAAGGGGCAGGTGTGTTCCATTTAAGAGTCAAATCATCTTACTAGATTTTTTAGTTCTTGATGACAATTAAAAAAAAGAAGAGACTTCTCATATTATTTAATTTCGATATTAGATTAGGTTCATCTTGACATTTTTGATTTGTTATTGGTAAATATATGTTGTTTTGTGAAATTGATAGAAGGCGCTCATATTTTCATTATAGAATATGCATAGATGGGCAGTTTATTGTCAAGTCAGTTCGGTTTCTCATCACTATTTCAGCATAAATCAAAACCACGTATTAACAATGGTCGTCGAACAACAGAAGAAGTATCAACATTAAATGACAGTAATCATACGTCGATAAATGATAACGATATTTCTTCAAGTAGTATACATTTTGTTGAAGAATTCGTACCCGAACGTTATTTAGTTTTACTTACCGAACAAATGACTGAAATGCTTTTTCGTTTAATGACTTGTAATGAAACATCAGTAATAATGTCTGAATGTGGATTTGATCATCGAATGTCATTAGGTATTAGTACTGGTAGTGGTAACATATCAACACCAAGTTCAAATTCTACCAATGGTCGATCTTCATTGCAATTACAATCAATGCATCAATCTTGTATTAAATGCAAAAGGAAAATGTTGACTATTGAAGAATTTCGTGAATTACACAGTTAGCATTTGTTCTATGTACGAACACTAGCTGTTCATATAGATTCAATCTTACTATATTCTGTTTGGTACTTTATCTGTCTGTTTCTTTCATAAATAATAAATGATTATATATGAAAACATAAAAGAAAAAATACGAAGAAAGAGAAAGGAGAAGATAGGTTTGGCTATGTAAGCATGGACAAGGAACAGATTAAAGGAATAAGAGAAGATCAAAGTAGCAACGAAACGAAAATATCGAGATATATGTTATAGATAGATTATGCTGTAGCATATACAAAGCAATTTGTTGTGTCGATAGTGATCATGATAATTTTCTTACACACGAAATGAAATTTGAACGATATTCAACTCTTTATTTGAACTTACAGATTATGACATCAAACAGATTATTTTCAGTATTTAATACAAACAAATGCGGGTGTAACTTATGGACGAGGGAAGGAGAGACCAGTGAAGCATGATGCCTTCTACTTTTGAAAATTGTCCACACCGTGTCCGTTTTTCTGGGAGTCAACCATTCTGCTGCCTCGAGTGCTGAGCTACGCCTCTACAACCAAAGACGATTAAAGATCATTTGAAGAATACATAGATATGAAGATAGTTCTATAGTAATAAGTTGATGTAGTCATTTTTTAGAAGAGATGATATATCGATTGCTCCATGAATTCATTCGTGAATAAGTAAAAACAGCTTTTGATCAAGCTGACATAAAACAAAATGATCATCTCTACGTAAGTGAACTTAAAAATTCCATCCGTAATTTAAATTTATATTTGCTTAATCGATAAATACTTGAAAGTAATCAAGACTTATGTTTAATTTCAAAAATGTCGTCACTTATCTTAGTTGTCGATGTCTGCGTAAAAAATAAACCTATCGAGTCTATTGACTTTGCACTTTTTTTACGAATATTGTAAAAGTTTTACACCGTCATGAGGCCTATTATACTACAAAAATCCAAGCCAATCCATTATATTACTTATAGACCAATGATTTCATAGTTCACTAAAAGATTGCGAATAAATATAATTTTACTATTTTTCTTTCATTGTTAATATCGTGTTATATGTTCGACTAAAGTACTGACAATATTGCTTTATCAGTCTGTTGAAATTATATCACTTGAATTATTTTATTGAACTCGAATAATTATTTTCTAACCTCTATTATATGTAAAATTTCACCTCTGAACTTTGATAATAATATATGTAAGAAAAAATCTCTTTCAATTAAAATAATTCAGCAGAACATTTTTCTACGACTAGGTACTTTCATACAACCCTTCCATATTCATATCGACTTGCATCTGGTAACATTTGAGTATGCTAGTTTTGGAGCCCTTGACGAGTTGTGTAGAAATTGATATTTAATTTTGTTTCGCATCATGAGAGAAGTGTATTATAGCAGGTGTAAAAGTCAATTTTATCGAAGAATGCCACCGAAAAACTGTATGTATCATTATTTGTGAACTTCTTCTGGGAATTCGAATTTAGATAACGGATAGAGCATAAAAAGTTATCTTTTTATACAATAATTATCAGAACTATATCTTTAGAATTTATTATTTGGGAGCATTTACAAAATTGAGAAAAATGACATTTTATGCTAACATTGAACTTCTTATAAAATTGATACAACTCAGTAAAACTTAAAACCTTCCTAATCCTAAATCTTTGAATCTAGAGAGTTCGGGCGTCTCGAAATATAACTTGTTAGGCTCCGATATTCCCAAAACCTACGACTAAGATATTTTTGAATGATCAAGCTCCTTCAATTTTCCCTACAATCGAAGCCCAAAGATTGTAGTTTAATATGCTTCGTTGTACAAGACTAGAGATTAACAACTGAATATAGAGTACTTTTTATGCTGAAGACAAATAGATAAGAGAGAATCGTCGTAAAACAATTGTTGAAAAACTTGGATCTAGTTCTTTTTCGGATCGATTTTCTATAATAGACTTTTTTGACAATTGTCGTTATTCATTTGCGTATTATGTTCGACCAATAGGTGATGTTCTTTACCTGTCTATACTTCTCTATGTTGTACACTTCTATAAAACTATTAGAAAGTAGTGATTCCTAAATAGTTGATGCTATGGAATTCTATGTTTTTTTAAGTATACAATGCTAAAATCCCTAAAATACACAGGTTTACGGTGACTCGCTGTGAGGTATCGCGAGTCTTTTCTCTATGTCTATCAACTCTTGTTGTGTTATAACAAACGTTGGTAATTTCGATTGAAAAACTAAAACGACTAACAATTCTAATTGGTTACTATGAGTATAAAGTTAAATCCGACTTTTTCTACCAAAAGTTTTGGCTATTGATCAATCGTAAGCTTTGTTATGTTCATACATCAATGTTTATTTTCTTTATTTTTCGACACACATCGATTTAGCCACACTGACTATGCTGCTTCATCGCTATTATTAGAGGTGCAGAATCTGCCGCTAAAACAAAAAATCCCCCTCACTATTAAATTCAAGAAGAGATCCTTTTGGAAAATTGTGAAATTTTTTCCTGAGAGGAAAAAGTAACGAATGCCATATAAAAAATGGTCCAATTTTATTTTTTTTATCTTCGAAGCATTTAACAATTATTTTAATGGTTGATTTTTATGCCACTAGCTAGAGAATTTAATTTTCTACAAAACTGTACATAGTGAGCTACCTAATGGACATTAGGTGGAAAATTGAAAGCCTACTTTTGCAAGATTCAAACAGTGTTATACGTACTTCAAACTATAGACTATTTAATGGTGTTAAAATTTTTGCTACGAAATACAAGTAGACTGGAAAATCATCTGAATAAAAAATTACCCCGAAAATAGTGCCATCTATGTAATTCACATTTCTTTTATAGAATCCACGGAAGTGACAAATGAAAACAACACATGCTATAAATTTGCATAATGTCAGCTACCGATTAATAAAAATAAGTGTTCAATTACCAGTGCTCTTTCCTGAGAATAAGATTTTCTTTTTTTCTCCTCTGTGATTTTTCAAACGAGTCTGTAAGTAAAATGAGCGCTCCCTTCACGCTCTAGTTCGATACTGATTCAGGTTTTTCCAGAACGTTCTCTCATATTTCATCTATCACTACAATTAACATACATATTCCTGGATCCTACATGAAGAAGGGCTTTCAAAAAATTCATGGCTTCTCAGATGGTTCCTATTTTTTTCAACGCAGAAACATTTTTATTCAATAAAAAGATCATGTTCAGAATCAACACGAGAAACTGCATCGAACCATATGCGATAGAACCATGTTTATAGGGAAATATTTTTCTTCAGATTTTTTCATCATGAGAATTAAAAAAGAAAATTATAGTTTTTAGAAAAGAATCTGCTGAAATTTGATTTATGCTACAATATTACATACAAACTGCTGTAACTTTTGGTGTAACTTCCAAAGTGTTAGAACAAATATTTCGGAGAAAAATTTTCGAAATAGAAAATATCGGAATACCAAAAAAAAAAGCTGGTTTCGCACAAATCTTTAATATCGTTTTCGATTGATTTAAAGTAGTCTATATGCTTTAACTGTTTAAGTGAATACATGCACAATTATATTCAGAATTTAATTATACATCCGATGGCACAAGAATCAGCATTTTATAGGATGAATCTGATCTGTGATTAGATAATTTTTCTTAATGCATCTAAAAATTTCTCTAGATGTTAGTTCGCAACTTTTTTTCATCCTGAACAAAACATTCAAAACCATACTAAGATTGTAAGCATGTCGAACGAAAAATTCTCTATGTTTTGATATACAATGCTTAGCTATTGGAATTGGCCTAGATGAGTACATGCTGACATAAATCGTTTTTTATTGGTAGAAAAATAAGAATTCGCAGTTTAACAATTCAATAGGTTTTCATCTTATGAAGTTTAGGGATTCCCGCTCTTCGACAATAATACTTTCGCCAATTATTGGCGAAAGTCCATTGAACTTTTGCCAATTGGCGACTGTTCAGGGGGTGAGCTGGCGAAAGTTGAATGGATGTTCCCCAAGTACTGCAGAACAAGATGAAGGCGACACATATGCGAGAACTATGCCTAATATTATCAAAATGTACCTTGATGTATACACTTGGAGTATTTGTAAATATGATAAGATCAGGTTTTAGTTGTAAGATGCTGGAGTAGAAAAGAACAGTAGATAATATGATGTCAAAGGATGTAGGAATAAGAAAGAGAAAATACATATAATAAGTGACAAAAAAAGCGAGAATTAGATAAATAAGAAATTCATCAAGAAGAATTTAGTCACAGTTTGGGGATAAACTTGATGATGAGCATGATGAGTCAGGTGTTGAAACATTATATTTATTTTTTCTTTTTCTTCCTCGACAAACAGGTTCACCAACAAGGTGAACAAGAGACATTAATGTGCCAATTAAGGATCTTTTCTTTGAATGCAATAAATCTAATAATTTCTCAATTCGTTTACTTTTACGTACTACCCCACAAGTTGTGACAGGCATTCATTAAACAATGATCATCTGAAAAATTTTAAATCGTAACATGTGTGAGTCAAATTTCCTACTAAAAGATTGATGTAATTATACATTTAGGATGTTGTACATCACACTAGTTAATTCATAGTTATTTTAGATCAGTTAGTCTAATAAAATCTAAAACTATAAACAAAATTTATGATTATGACATAGATGAATAAAATCTATGAATGCATGTGATATCAATCTCTCCAATCAATGACAAAATTACATTCAAATTGGAGAAAGTTCGATGGACTTTCACCAAGATCGGTAAAAGTTTAGTGGATCTTCGCCAATATTGGCGAAAGTATGGATGTACACTGGTGAAAGTTCAGTGTACTTCCGCCAATTAGCGAAAATACAGTGGACGTTCGCCAATGGCGAAAGTTCAGTTTGCGAAAATCTTATTGGCGAAAAGTGGGTTAGCCAAAGTTTATGCCTGCATGAAAAATCTATTTGAAAAACAATCTCGACAGTTTTGTAGAGAAATAAATTCTTTATCTAACGAGATCAGAACTAAAATTCGAACGAGTGTTAAATTTCTCAAAGATAGAAAATAAAACTACGACATTTACTATAGAGCACTGATTATTTTTTCCAAAAATTTCTCCAGACACTAATTGATCTTCTAAAATATTCAGAAACGGTTGTTCGTGCATGCGGGTAAATTCTGCACTTCTGGCTATAATTCACAATTAATATTATCACACTATTGTCTTCCTTTTCTACTTCTCGTTTTATGATATCATGAAAAATAGCAATTTACGAATTCTTTTCTCATATACAGAGCGTATAATAACGGGACGAATAATATGGCTGTGAATGAGTCATAATGAGGGCGTGTATTTTTTTTTCCGAACACTAAACGACTCTTGTCATCATATATACTTTTTATCTTCTTGTAAATAATTTAATTATTAACGTACTTCTATTGTTGACCATTAAAACACAACGTTCTTCATTTTAATTAAACGTAGAAATTACAAAATATATTATGGTATTTTTTTTTAATAGAAGTTATGTCATGCTTACACGTGTGCATGACAAAAAGAATCTCAAAGTGGTAAACGAAAAAAAGAAAAAAAATGTGCGCAATGAAGCGAAACAGAACACGCATGTGCATGCATTTGCATGGGAGTACTGACAATAGTCACAAGATGTTTGCAGGATATTTTGGTCGTCGCCGATTCAAAAGTATATTAGCAGTATTTCTTGGTTTTCTAGTCTTGATAGCACTTCTTTATAAAACACCAAGTAAAGATTTTTATTATTTAAAAATTTTTATAAAAAAATTCTTCTTGTTTATGTAACTATTTTATTTAGAACAAGAACATCAATTATATACAGAATCGCCACGACCTATTCAAATACAGAAAACTCCATCGCCACCGCTAGCACCAATAAAAAAACGACCAGGTGTTATGTCCTTGATTGAATTTAAAAATTCTCCTTATTTAGTTTTTCGATCACTACCGACTAATTTTATACCCATTATGATCTTATCTAAAGCAGCTAATATTGAAGTACGTGATGCTATACGACGTACATGGGGTTTTTATAGATCATATCGCAATGATACTCTACGAATGAAAGTATTCTTTCTTGTTGGTACTGATGATTTTATGACACACCGTATACTTACAGAACAAAATGTTTTTGATGATGTCATTCAAATAACTGTGCCAGATATGTATTCATTTTCTGCTTATAAAGAACTTTCTGCTATGGCATGGGTACGTAGTTATCTACCGGATGTACCATTTTATATTAAAACTGAAGATGATGTTATTATTAATATGAAAATATTGGTTGATCGACTCTTACCAATGATCGAATCTATTGCCAATCAAAAACTTATTGTAGGTTGGTTTGCTTCAGAAAATGTTGTACCACGAGGTTCCTATCAAAAATTTATTGATGCTGTAATGACACAAACAAATGGTGAAGTACCTTATGCAATGAGTTTATTATATGCTGTGACAGCCATTGGTGCTGATCGTATGATTGATACAATAAGTAAAATTGAACACATTGATTATCCAGGTGATCCATTTGTAACTGGTATTCTTCGAGATGCTGCAGAAGTTCAAATCACTAATTTATCAAGATCTCCTGAAAATTTTAAATATGAATTAGCTAATGGAGGATGTAAACGTGCATTCGAGAAAAATCACAATTTATTAATGTGTACATCATCATTACATGTTGGTCCAATTGTTTCCATGATGGAATATTTTGAAGCTTGGAATGTGTTAATCGGACAACCACAACCATAGACTGATAAAGATAATAGTTTATTTTAAAAATGTAAAATTTGAGAGAATATATGAATAGATACAATAAAAAAAATTCAAACAAAATAAAAACACCAACGAATCGATGGATTGTTTAATTCAAATCGATTTTGTTATTGATGCAAAATATGAATTGTATGTCAAAGCTAATTGACAATGAATCGAAAAACAAACGTGGAATATCTATTATGATCTTTTATAATAAAAAATAATATATATATATATATATATTTGATTGCTTCAGCGATAGAGGTCGCATACATGTGATGAAGGAGTAAATTACTAAGTTTTTCAAAATGATCCAACGAACATGCGTACTTTGTTCGCTTTACTAGTTTTAAAAGAAATGTCTGAATCATTATTATTACTTATTTATTGAAGAGTCAATCGTTCGCTTAGTCTTTTTTTTTTATCATAAAGTCATTTCAAATGGCATCAGCTGCTGCTCCTACTATCCGTCGTATTCCACCACCACGCATTTACTGTATATGATAATCTTTTAGAAAAAATCGTATATAAGTCTTTTTTTTATAGCCTCTATCAATCGACGTCGATCGACAACTGAAACAAAACAAACGATTGTCTATGAAAGTGATCATGATCCTGAAAAGTCAATAGAAAAAACAAAAAGATTTAATAAATATTATTTTCAAAATATTGCTATATTCTATTTAGATGTCTTATTCAAGAGAATGAATTACGTGAACTTAATCGACGTCAATTAATAAGAATTCAATTACTTGAAAATGATTATCGACAATTAGATGATGATATAGCTCAATTACAGAATCAACGTGATCTTTTATTAAAAGAAAAACGAATGTAAATTAAGATATTGTTGCAAAACATAACTAAACGCTTCTTATATTTTTATTTTCTCGTAAAGATTAGAAGAAGAACTTGATCGTTCATCCTATCATGCATCTGCTAATGTTGATCTTCATGTCTATACACAAAAACTTGAAAATGAATGTCGGGATTTACGATGTCAAATAACTATGCGTGAAAAAGAAAAATTTGAATTAACTGAAATGGTTACAGATTTTGAAGTACAAGTGAGCACATTTCAACATACGATATCTTTAACTAAAGAAGGCAGATCTTTGTAAAAGCTAGATTCGACAGCAAAATACGCGTAAATGAACTCAATACTTCATAGGAGTGATTAGTTGGAACTGATTGATAATGTATCATTTCTAAAAAATGATCTGAGTTTTCTATTTAATGCATTCTTTAGCAAGACCTCATAGATGAACTATAGTGGCAAGGTTTCTCAAAAATCGGGCACAGTAGCTTTCATGTCTCAGCAGTTATTTTTTAACAATACAATTGTAAATAGCATAAATCTCTGAAGAAAATGAGGGGTTGCCGCATTTTCTACGATCTTCCTATTAAAAAGTTAAAAGTATCACAAGAATCGAAAAAAAGCGTTTTTTTTTACAGTTTTTATGATATTGTTAACTTTTAAGGGAAAGTCATAGAAAATGCGCCGGTCCATCATTTTGTTCAAAATTTTATAATCTTTAAAATGGCATGGTTAAAAAGTAAGTATGTTTTTTTTCAGAAATCTTGCTATAGAATGCATTAAGTAGAAAACTCCATAGACTATTAAAATCGCTATCTGAATTTTAAGCTAATTGCTTAACATTATAGAAAAAAAAATGAAAAATCCGCTGTTGTTAAACTTTTTTCTATTACCTCATATATAGATCTCTAAAAGAATCTCAAAGTATTGTCAAACTTTGATATCACAATAGTAAAAATACAGATACTATTATTTAATTCTTTAATATCTATTCATATTTATTGAATTAAAATATCAGATGTTTTATATAATTTCTTTTTTAGACCAAACAAGCACGTGATCGACAAGAAGAATGGCGAGATGCATATAATGAACTTGAAAGTCAATTAGCAACAGAAACAGTATGTAATTGAAATAGTTTAATAAATTCTTCTAATAAATGTTTTAATTTTTTCTTAGGAAAATCGTCAATGTCTTGAAGTTCAATTAAAAGAAGCTAATCTTCGTCAAAAAGAAGTTGATTAATATAAAATAAAAATATATTTTATATTTATTTTATTTAATAAATATTTAGAATGAAAAGCAAATTCATCGTTTACAAAATGATTTAGATGAAGTTATTTTAACAAAACAAGAAATTATTAAATCAAATTATATCTTAGTTCAAAATGCTGAATCACTTCGTGAACAACTTCGAACGTTTGTAGACAAAAAAAGAAAATCGATAATTATCAATAAAATATATTTAGTTTTGCTTAATTATTTTTAGAGTTCGAACTCAAGCAGCCGAAATTCGATTTACCTCTGCCTCATCAAGCATATCATTTGATAATCTTGATGAATCTTTACCATGTCTAATCTATGATAATGATAATGATGATGATGATACACCTGATTGTGAAAATATCAATAATCAATCTGGAAGTTGTCAATCATCATTATTTAGTGAAATAAATTCTCTAGTAATATATCGATTTAATTCATATTTAAAATAAAGAATGATTTTTATTTTAAGGAAATAATGTCAAATGAAACTATAACAAAATGTCTTAATGGTACAACACATGATATTGAACTTGATTTACTTTTAGCAAAAACAACAACACTTTCATCTTCATTATCTTTACTTAATCAATTAGTTAATATTTTTCTTTTGAATATAAATGATTGAAGATTAGATTTTTTTTTCTCTTTTGTTTTAATAGATCAATGAAGTAAAATATCTTCATGAGGTTTTGCTCGAACAAATAAATCATGATTGTCTTTTTAATCAAGAACAAGAACGTTTATTAAATATGAAAATATTATTAAAACGTGTTCTAGAAAATATCCAAGTTTTTGATACACGGTAAACATAAAAAGAAAAATGATATATTAAAAAATTAATATTATATTTTCTTTTATAGATTTCGTAAATTACAATTATTATTAATTGCTAGTCGAGGTATGAAATGAATAAAGAAATATAACAAGATTTTTATTTAGTATAATATGATGAAAATAGTCCGAAGTGTAGCGGAATATCACTCAAATTTACATGCCAGTAGTTTGAGGCAGCAAGAACTTAAGTGTTTGAGAATATCTATTTTAAAGGTTAAAAAATGATTCTCATAATCGAAAATATGCGATATTCAATGGTTCGAAATTCTAATTGCTCTGTTATAACCTTGAATACTAAAGTAACACAGCTGAGCCATTACGGGTTGTCTCAAGTAAGAGTACGTACTTGTACTGGCCCAGCTGTGCAATGTTATTTTTTTTCTCCTTCTTTTTTTGGTTAGAATCATATAATGTTTTAGATTTGAGTACTTCAACACTTTTAAGTCCATTATCTTGTCGTCTATTAGAATTGAAAAAAATAGTGTAAAGCAAAATTATCGGTATTTTTTAGAAGTAGGAGAGGCTAAGAATTTCTTGCACAAAGTGCTACAAACCGAGGACAAGAAGAAGAACAAAATTTAACGTGATTCGACTTCTTCCATAACAGATAAAAAGCAAATGATGTTTCAAAACCCGGTTTCTGTTCAAAGTTACCACGAAGCTGTAAAAAATTGGCAGAAAGTCGAACATTTTAGGAGGGAACCCTTCTCCATCCTTCTCATGTACTCTTCAAGGATTAAAACATATTAAATATCTTCCATCCATTAATAGAACAACAACAATGTCATCAAGCTGAACTAGATGATTTCTTTCGTCTTGTTGATAAACGTCTTCTACCTGAAAGTGAACAATTATCTAATAGTTCATCAAATCAACAACGTCGTCTTGTATCAATTCTCGGAGCATATGAACATGAACTTGATCGTTTACGTCGAACTACTCGTACTAATGATGATATTGTATTAATTGAGTTTTTTTTTCTTTTTAAAATAACTTTATTGTAAGTAATAAAGAATTTATTTTCTCATAGATTCGTTCACAAGAACAACAACTTGTCGAACAACAAAATATGACAAGTAGATGGCGAATGAAAAATACATTTTTAGAAAAAAATCAACGAAAATTAATTGATAAAATTAAGTAAGCAAATATTAAATCGAATATATTAATAAGTTATTTATTTATTTTTGTTTCATAGAGAATTAAATAATGAACGTCGACAATTAACTGGTAAACAAATTTAATTTATATACATTTTGAATGAATACAATGAAATAAAAATTTAAATTCTCATAATTATTAAATTTAGAATAACAATAGATTCCTTTATAAGATTTAATACGATTTTATTAATCATGTTAAATAAGAAAACAATCGATTAACATCTCTAGATCAAAATCAAGACTAACTGTTGATTTTCTTTTTAAAGTTAAATTGATACTCTCGAGAATTAATGATCTACAAACAATATAATATTCACACTAGTTTCTTAAATCATACTAGAGTTTAAAACTATGCGCTGGAAACAAAGAAATAAAAAAAAAGAAACTTTCTCATAACAAATTCTAGAATCATCATCAACACAAAAACGAATTCGTCGACGAGCACAACCAACAAATCAAACCGAACAGCAGCAAGAAAAGGTAAATGTACATACTAAATTATTCAAGAGGAGAAAGAAAAACATACTTCTCCAGATCAGTGTTTTCTCTAGCATTAAGATTGAGAGAGCGATGCTTCTCAAGAAATCGGGTTTGCCCTCTCGAAAGTAATCGCTCTATCGGAGGAGAAAACTTGGATAAAACACTGCTCTAAACTTGTCCGCATGTCTACATATTCCTGTAATCGTTTTCTTAATTATCTTTTCTATAACAACCATAATGATTTACAGAAAATACTTCAGTTTTTTGTACATTCCTTGATACAGTGCACCTCAAAAGTTTCGCATCACTTTTTTGTTTTGAGTCGTGTATTTAAACTACACAACACTAATTTAATTCAACTATATGCTTGTGTAGCAGAGATCGAGTACTATATATATATATGCACCTGTTTAATATAATAAAGTCTTGAAAAT